GAGGGGGATGAATGTGTATGGGTTAGACTAGATTAGGGTTATACAACAGGCTTAAATCTGTCAACAGTGCCCTAGGACACCATGGAAAGCAAAACCTCTTATCCAAGAGCAGAGAAAGAAGTAGTAAGGGGACGAAGACAGCAAGAGACAGTGAGAGAGGGAGGTAAAAAAGAATAGGAGGAGGAGGACAAAGGCACGAATCAACAGACGAGCAAGACACAGACATCCTTCAGTAAAAGTGGACCAGTGTATTTGACAGCAAGAAATAAAGTGCGTGCGTATCTCCTGACCTTTTCTTAGTGCAGGTTAGCAAGTGTGTTAGCTCTCTCTGCCTGCTGCAGCAGTACACAGGTCTATTAATAAACCTTCAGTTCAAATGGCAACCACTCTGTTTGCTAGCCAATATGATAAGAGAACAAACAAACCCATGTGTGGATAATATATAACTGTGCAGATGCAATGAAGCATGTATGTGTTGCACATTTGGAGCACGTTTTTACAAATGTTTTGAATTTCAATATTCAATGTGGAGTGGCATTTGATCATAGTAAGAATAACTTTGTTACAGCAAGACAAAAGAATCAACTACTGCAGCTTATAACAGGGAAAAAGTTTCTTTCCGGCACATAAACCAGCAACCAATCCTATGAAACCCTACAAACTGACCAGACGCGCTTAACTGCGGCCAAACTCCACTTCTGTTAACTCACAGCTCACTAGCTAAACCTGGGCACACTGCCAGCATCTAAACATAAAGCCTGCCAGAAACTGCTAAGCCGCCCTCTGGAACCAATCAAAAAACAGACAGCACAATGATATCATTACAAAATACTTTCTCAATAAAATTGGCACAAAAGTATTTTTAAAGAAGAAGCACTACTATCCAAGAAAAACAAGAACCAGAGCAGAAAGGTAGAGCGTTGCCTGTGGAACTGAGCGGCTCCCTCTGGCAGCCGCGGTACCAGAAGGGCAAGCCCCCTCCAGCAATTGGAGTTGTTTACTTGCATGGATCTTGACTCAACCTTCCTACATGGAAAGACCTCTGTCAACCCTAAAGCATCTGATTCAAAGCAGCTATGCAGGGAAAACCCATACCCTTTTAAGGTGGTGCAAATCAAAGCAATGTTGAAAGATGTTTAACACTTTACATTATTGGTTGGTGGTGAACAATTACGGGGGGAAATAATGATTTTTATGACAAGTATTGCAATTTAATATAAAATAATTTTCCATAAATTAAACTCTGTATGTGTCTACAAGAGCTGAACTGATTAGTCATTTAATTGATTAGGATTCGCTTCTTTTCTTTGTGTTATGTAATAGTAAACTCAGTACGTTTAGGTTTAGACTGTTTTCTAATTTTGTAATTCTCAAAATTATCTGGGTTGATTGATCTGTTTAGCTAGCGATTACAATATACACTGCTATATTTAATGAATCACGTTGTGAAAACTTAAACATCGCTCTGTGTATAAGCATGTTCTTTGCTGCTGCTCAGGACATAGAGTACAGTTTGTTCCTCTTTCTCCCTGCTTCCATCTGAGAATGGCTTTCATGAGGGCCCCTGGAGTTGGCAGCAGCTCGACTGCTGCTATCATCTTACCGACAGACAGAGCGAGTTGGGGGGGGCAAGAGGGAAATTAGGGACAAGACACAACCAGAGAATGGCTGAGCAAGAGAGCAAAAGAGAAATATGATGAACACAATAGGCGAAAAACAGATGATACCAAGGTGAGGGAGGAGGGAAGTGGAATGTGAAAAAGGAGGGACATAGGCAGAGGCAAACGAGCCTGTCATTTAAGTTGATGTGAGAGGAATGCAGCTGCAGCTTCTGACATGCATAAAAGCAAAGAGGTCAACTTCCTGAAGTAAGCAGCACATAAACACAATACGATCTTTACTCCCTTTGCTGCTGAAACCTAAAATAGTGGGAAAGGATCAATAGAATTAACCAGTAAAGTGTTTTGGCCCCGTTTTCTACCGGTTACATAAACTAACCTGAAAAGTAGGAGGACAACAGAGGTGGATTTAAACCACGGTACATCTGAACAGACGTGAAAGGCTATTTTTCTGTGCGTGTTGGGTCATAAAAGACCCAACCTGCTATTAATAGATGTGTATTTGTATGGACAATACAAGCTATTTGGGGTACCTTTTTTACCACTTAATAGCGGGTGGGCTGATACTGTTTTTAGACGTCTTGTTTAAAAGTTCAGAAAGTGATTCCAACCTATTACCGGAGGCCCCCTACAAATGGACAAACAATGCATTTTACAAGCTGTGCACTGTTTAACTTGACTGCTTAAACAATATATGCAGTGACTGTCAACTGAACATTGCTTTTAGCTAAAGACACTTCATTTGTCCTGCTGTTGCCATGCAACTGCAAAATCTATTTGAAGCATGGTGCTTTATTGCCAAAAGCTGACATATTCTTTAACATCATTTGCATGCCAGTAAAACAAATTCGACCCTCAGCAACAAACCTCTACGTTGAGTATGAAAAAAATGGTTGCACTTAAGAGTGGGCTGTATAACCGGTATAAAAAGCATTGACGCGCAACACGATATGGATGTGGCTATACAGTGTCCTGGTATAAAATAGAGACTCGCTGCCCTTCCATTTTATGTTAAGAGATCAAGTAAAGCATATCTGACAAAACATGTGTTCCTCATTCCTGGGCTTGCATGGCTGCCTCTTTATACTGTATACAGTAAATACTTTACATATACAGTGTAATATTATAGATTTATATTAAAATTGCCCAATTGATCATCTTGAAACTGAGTTTAATGTAATCCTTCTTGGCAACCCATTCCAAATATGTGCTCACCTTTTTTAACCAGTAAAATAAATCTCGTTAGGAAGACCCTGTTGTCATGGAAACATTCCTAAACACTCCCGACTCCTCTGGGCTTGTCTCAGCAAGATGACATTAGTGCAATAGGCACATGCCAGTGTCTCTCTCTCAAATGTGCAAAAACCCCAGATTAATGGTCTTCCCTGCTTCAAGTGCTTGATGTTTCAGGTGAGCTCAACAAAAGGCTTGAAGTGTACGAGGAAGTGTACGAGGAAGTGTTAAGAAATCTACTTGAGCGCAGGTGTTGCTGTGCTGTACATGTCCGCATTCCTTTCAGAACCATATGCTATATATGATATCGCATGTGCAGTAGAAGTGTGTGGGGGAGCAGATAAGCGTATTTGTCACAAGGTCCACCTACATCAAGTCAACTTTGGGAGGGGTTTGTAGGGGCACCCACACACACTGAACTCAAACAGGGGCAATGTGCACAGAACAACAAGCTTCAGGTTTTGCTTATGACTCATTAGCTGGTTTGTCCATTATTCAGTCATCCATTCGCTTTTACAGTCACCTGTCCACCCACACCCAGAGTGGTAGCGGTTGCCACCAGGCATGCTCAGGAACTTTATCTACTCTTCACATAGTTTAAAGTTAGTCAAAAGGAGTGTTGGTCTGAGTGAAGTAGTAAGTTTGTCTTCTGGGAGTTGAGCATGCTTTGTTTTCTACTGTGAATGATCTCATCAGTATGTGTTTACATATTTTTTATTTTTATTATTTTTTTATTTTTTTATTGGTGCAGCTCTTGTAGTGTTGAAAACAAACTTATGTCACATTCCTGCTGGATTCAAGGCCAAAGATAATACAACTGATGCATGCTAAAGAGCTGCTGACGACTGAAGACAAATGAGCCTATAGACTCTAGCTATAGTAAGACACTGTCAAGTATAGACACTGACTCTTTCAGAGGAACAATGATTACGCTCTTGTTATTGTATAACCATTATCTGGGGAGGGAAGAGCTTCCATGACGATTAATGGCAGTGCCAGTTCACAGTTTGGTACTACAGAGAGTTCAACTCTGAACTACTCGCCTGTTTGTACTGGAACACATCACCAAATCTAACAATATAGTAAGAGGAAAAGACTCGAGACATAGCAGGACGGCATTGAGAGGAGTGAAAACGAGTGAGAGACAGAGAGAGCAATTGAAACATAAAGACATAGTCAAGGTCACAGATAGACACTATCAGACTTCCTGCCTACAACTAGCAATGACAGTAGTTTCAGCTGTAACAGTAGTACGCTCGTACAAACAGGACTCAATGGAAACTGTAACTGCAATTCAAATGGAAAACACTACTACGTCACATGGCAAAGTACACCAGCGCTGTCATAAGAGCAAAGCACACTGCACAACAGGGACAAACAAACAGTGATAGCACAGAGACCGAGCAAGGAGCAAAAAATGTTGGAAAAATAAACATTTTAATATCTTAAAAAACTTATGAAGGCTTCATAGCTGAAATTAATGACTTAAATTAAACAAACTGTAAATAAAATCACCAAAATGAGCCACTGCAGTTCTTGTTTTAACCTAGCCATGACATCTTCTCTCACCTTTTGACCAGACCTGTATCTTCTTATCCTCCTTCCTCGTCACACTCTCCGTCTCTCTCTCTCTTCCATCCACTGTTCTTCCCTCTGTGGGTTTGTTCCCTGCGGAAAACAGGAGAATACTATTACTTTACTGTTTTATGTGGCACAATAACAGTGTGTGTTGCATACGCAGCTTCACCGACTGTTTGGGTAGAAACTAGTAGTAATCCAAACAAATGACAAGAGTAACACACAACTGAAAAATCATAGCAGCACTGAGCAAGTGATATCATTCATGTTGTACACACAAATCCACAAACCGTCACTAGTTAGGCATCTTCCTGTAAACTCCGTAATGTACTTATAAGGACAATACAAACTTGTGTTTTTGTAACGCATGTTCATTAGTAGAGATGATTTTAATCACAGAGACAAGTACTGTTCCAAAACAAAGTGGAATCCATTTTAGAAAGCAATCATTAAAGTCATTTATAAAATGGTGAAAACTATAAATTGCCAGGTTCTCTAATGTGAGAATTTTCTCGTTTTCTCTGCTGGTCGGACAAAACAACAACTACAAGATGTCAGCTTTGACTTTGGGAATGTTTAGACTTTTTTTTATAGACCACAAAAATTGATTAAATAAAAAAAATATATAACAAACTAACCTGTAATGAAAATAACTGGTTGCAGCCCTTATATATTTCTTTGGTGCTGTGTTTTGGTCACTCTTCAATTTTTCATATTACTCATTGCTTATACTGAATACTATACTGATACTAACAGTGTTGCACCTTATATTGCCTGATGACAACATGCAAACATTAAACATTTTAACTATTTTTTTACTGATTAGAACATCACTCTTTTTGGTTCTCAAACACAAATAAGGTCTTCCTGTTATTGTCCTATTGGTTTGTAATGAGACTGTGGCTTCTCCCTCTGAGTGTTAAGTTCAACTGCACTGGACCCAGTGGGTGTGCCATTTAGCCCGCAGGAGAAAGCTGCAGGCTGCAGTCTAATCCGATAATGGGATTACAGAACAGCACTTACCTTAGCTATAAACAGACAGGCACACAGAGACGCTGAAACAACTCAGACCGGCATCGCGGCTACAACATTAAATGTGTATACATTCGGCAAATTTTGTTTGATAACTGCACAGTGGCGAACAGAAATGTTGTTCCTCTAACTGTAACGACAAGATGCCGATAGAAGATTTATCAATAAAATGTTTAGTATGTTGGAAACAAAGGATGCAACAATAATTTCCCTAACTAAGATATAATAAATATATTTTCCATTGTATTTAGCTGTGCTTAATTATTGTGAAACAGGAAGAGCCATCCCTTTTAGAACGCATCGACTTATTAACGTCAAATCGAATGGATTTATCATCAAGCCAGGGGGAAACGCTGATCAATGTGCATTGTCCTAGTAAAAACCTACAGATCTTATGAACAGCACTGAGCTGTACATTTATAGGACCTCTTTATGAGAGAAAAACTCCTTGAGCATCTTTATAAACAGGCTGGAAGTCAGTGTTTCAGTAGATACATTAGTGTGTGCGGACTCAGAGGCTAAAGTCTGAAGCTGACCTTAGAATAGCAGTGACAGCAATCTGACAAATAGCTTAGTGGTGTGCATCGCTGTTTGACACCATCATCAAAAGTCACCGGAGTAAGAAATGTTCAGTTGCTACACAGGGGGGCTTAAATGCCCCTGAACTATTCAGGTCAACATATTAGCTGTTTGCCAGAATCTGTTACAATAAAACTGTAAATGCACTCTTTAATCTTTTTTGCTACCACCTTCAGTCACAACCTCCCTGTTCCCACACTCCCCCCCTCTCCTTCCTCCACTCCTTCCCAACCATCAAGTGCTTCAGCAGATGGTTCTGGGTTCAACAACAACAACAGCAGAGCATGGTGGGGCCCTCCTGGAGTGCACACATACACACCATGGACAGCATCTGTTTATGAATGGGCCGACAATTGCCCATCCCCCGACAGCTACAGCTGACAGAGGGGAGGGGGCACCGCAAGTCACTAAAAGCAAAAGGAAAGGATAAAGAACAAGGCAGTCACAACAGGGGGATGTAAGAAGAGAACAACAAAGTTGCTGTTGCAAATATGTATTATTGTTTGTTTTTTCCTTTTCTAGTGCCAGATGGAAAACCCAAACTCAATCCAAGACCCTACCCTGCTTAAAAAAAAAACTATTAAAGCAGAACTGTTTGAGGTTTTTTAAAAATTATGCTTTTTTTAATGTAAAAAATACTGTGAAACCATTTTATCACCTGCCATAGTTTTAGTTTTAATTTTAGTGCAGCAAATAACCAAATTTTTATTACAGATTAATCTGTTGATCAATTAATCATTTAGTGAATACAGTTCAAAACATAAAATCCTTATGATTATTTGATTACTATGACAGTTAGCAATTAACTTCCTGTCAACAAATCGATTAACAGTTCCCATAGGAAGTAGAGTACCTTGTGGAGCACACTTATGCCAACTATACTGGTGAGAAAATAACTGCAGACTTTCCAGAGTTGCAATATCCTTTCTCACTGGTGCCTGAAGCAACCCTCACAGCAAAGCAGCCTCTTGCATTTTCTGGATGGATGACCTAGTACTCACCTTAATCACCTTTAAAGGTCATGGCTGTAGGTTGGGTATGTGTCTGTGTGCTTCAGAGTTCAGGAGGGTAGAAAAAATATAACCTATCACAGGTGTGCTGTCCCTGCAGTGGCAGCTCACTCATATAAGAACTTTAACTAAGAGCAATTACCTTGGTATTATTTATTTCAGTACCTGAGTAATTATGAATTACATCAGCAAGACGCCCTCCCTTATCCAGGCCACCTGAGAGATACAAGTACATGTGCTGATCATGTGGTTTCTGTTATTGTTCTTTATTGAGATTGTTAATGTACAACCATGATAAATCAGGCCAGCCATGTAACTCTCCTTCCTTCTTGGAACAAGCAAGTGAGTTTTTCCATGATCAATTAATCACTTTATCAAAAAAAAAAAAAAAATCTGGTACCAGCCTAATTAAATGTGAGCAATTTCTGTTTCTCTTTTATATCCCAGTCAATTAAATATGTTGGTAGATCAAAAGGAAAAATTTGAATATTTAACTTTGCAAAATGTGATTTTGCAATTTTTCACATCTTTTGAAAAGTTTTACAAATTTTATAGACAAACCTATTAATAGACAGAATAGTCAAGCATATTAATCAATGATTAATCAAATCGTTAGTTGTTGCTCTAGACTGGATTGGACTTTGCCATAGACAAAATGTAATGTTATATGATCCACAAAATACACTTTAAACTACTTTTATTGCGTTGCCTTTTTTTTTTTACAACATTCTCTCAAGAGAAAAGGGCAGCCATTTTCACTGCAACATACAAATCACCAGACTGATAAAAAGGAATCGCTTTCTAAAAATATCCTATCTCTAAATATGGTCTTTGTTGTGTTTCAAGAGGATAAAATAATCTGGACAGCTGATTCAACTATCAAGCTCATACTTTTTGGTTTTTCCATCTCGGACAGAGGGATGGCTGAGAAGGATAAAGAGCAGACTGATGAAAGATGAGGAAAATAGTTGTAAAAAGGTCACTGGTGATTTTATGTACAACTCTGTAGCGCAATAGATTAGAGGCCAATGAGTACCGTGAATATGCCTTTTATTTGCCCGCACAGAGGTGTACATGATAACAGTTTATCAACACTTTGGGTCGTCTATATGTGCTGGTGAACAAAGTGAATTTCTCTGAACTCGTTTCCCTCATCCTCTATTAACTTCAGGAGCATCTGCCACATTCAGTCTAAAGCTACTTCCACGCCACCCTTTAAAGATCCACAATAAAGCATAGATTTTGCTGCCACCCACTTGGCTTTTCTTTGAACCCGTTTCTGCCTGCTGTCAAATAAAGCTAAAAGACTTAAAAATAATCAAACTATATTTGGGTTTCTGAGGAGGAAGACATCAAAAATCTGAAGCTTTAGACTTTTGCATCCTAAGACCCTGTAGGAGGGTTTTTCACTCCCAGAGGTGAGTCATGCAGTGAATCTAGCGAGGACTTTCAAATTGATAGGAGACGGAGTATTGATTGCATTTCTAGCCTTGTGGAAGCAGAGGTTTACAGACAAACACCCAGACATGAACGGAGAGACATGAGTGTCCACAAACATACACTTCAAAACATAGACGCACGCTTAATCTGTCCCCACAGAACAAAAGCCAGAGGGCAGTCGCGTGGCTAATTTGCATGTATAACACCACATTATTGGCATTAGCATGTTCTCACAGAGGCTCCCTTCAGGAAAGCCATCACTTAATTAGTGAATGACAACGAGTATCTCCTCATAACGAACAGCACAAGAGCGAAGGCTTTGTGAGGCCGCCGTTGCGAGATGTGACATTTCCTGTCTAGCTGCATTAAACCTGTCGTTTCAACAGCAGTCGACATCAGGCCGGTTCATTTCAGGTCACGGTAACTTAAGAAAGGCCAGATGATATTTCTGGCTGAAAAAAACCTATCCAGTTTTGCTGCTGGCAAAGAAGGGTGGGGTTTTTTGTGAATTAAAGTATTTTTTTTATAGCACGGAGTTTTGCAGATTCAAGTTTATCTGTTTTTATAAACACAACTGCAATATCCTGCTCTTACAACACTTCATGACTTCAAATGTGGACATTTTGTTGAAATCCAAAACCATTATACCAGGGACAAATGAAATTGAAGTTTTGTGGAAATAAACACCACTCTTCTACCACAACTTCTACCACAACTTCTACCACCAGCTCACACCGACAGTTACACCCTAACCCTGCCATAGAAACCATCAACCCGTCCACACAGATAAACAACACGCTCACCTAAAAGTGTCGGAGCTGAGCCTACGTATGGCAGCAACATCAAACACTCCATTTCTGCTCCTTGCTTGTTCCAGTCTCATGACCATCTGCAGGTGCGGCTTTACTGGCTTTTAGGGGCAATGTTTAACTACCTGATCCCCAACCAATGTAGCAATGTTTTAACACCATATGAATTGATAGCATTGTTGTATTAAATTCCAAATACGATCTCAAGTTGGCCACTTCAGCAAGGAGTCAACGCTACAGCTTCACCACGTCATAAACCCCCTCGTCAAAACTCTGAGACAGATATTTGTAGACAAGAATGAAAACATGTAGAGAACAGTAATCTGGAGAATGAGGCCAGACAACCGAAAGTGAAGCTAGACAGCACACAAAAGCATAGGAAATAACTCATAATCACAACTACTGTATTATTAATACACATTATTTTTCATTGTGTTATGATTGAGAATGCAACAGGTGGGCTGCCCTGATAGCTCAGCGGGTAGCGCGCCTACCACATATCAAAGCTGAATCCAGCTCTAGGCCCCATGCTGCATTTCATCCCCTCTCTCCATCTCCCCGCCTTTCCTGTCACCCTCCACGGTCATTATCCAAAATAAAAATAAAAAAGGCCCTCAAGCAATAAACTCTTCTCTCTGTGAGTGTGACATGCTGGGTGGTAAGTGAGTCCAGAAACTGACTTAGTGTTGAGTTTTTCTTATGCAAAACTGAACACTGTTACCGCCCCGAAGGATGTAATCCCCGCTGGTGCCACAACCCTATAAATGTATTAAATTTATGATAATGTGGTTTGTCTTTTATAGAAACATCCACCAAATGCTATTTGTAAACTTTAGGAGAGGACCTTTTACTTAGACATGAAAGCAAAACCACTTTCCAAAAGCTATGAACTGAAAAAGAAACTACCTCAGGCAACACGGTACCATTGGAAACGTGTTATTTAAGGAACAAAAAACTGTTGTTTTTAAATGTATGAAATAAGAAATTACTGCTATTTGAAAACACACACATCCACAACCCAGAATTAAACCGTGTTAAATTGGGAGTTGAATGTGTACCGTGATTTTTATAGATTAAATAAAACATGAATCACATGCAATAAATCATTTGAATGTTAGTGTGGGAAACTCAGAAGCAATAAAATGGGGTGGGGGGGGGGCTGTTACTATACATCTGAGGGTATTAATATAGAGGCCCTTAGATTACTTCAGCAACAGTCACTCCCACATACACACAGCAAGGAAATATGTCCCAATGCTCGGAAAATGTGAAACATCATCGACTGGCCTTAGCAACCAACCCTAAACAAACTGGCATAATAAAAGACCGTACAAGACATTAGCTGCATGTTACGCCCCAACGACTAAACACAAAAAAATACTTTACAGAAACGGGACTAAACCGGCGACAAAAACAAGACAGTTTTTAGATCTTACATCTCTTGTTTGAACAACATCGCCCTGACAACAACTGACACTGTTGGAGATGAGAGGGAGGAGAGTTGATGCACTGGTTGGCTATAATTACACACAATCAAAACAAAAAAGAAAACCCAATTCAGGAAACTGAGCACGATAAGATTCATAAACAGATTCAGGGATCTAAAAACAGAGTACAGATTAAATGCCGCCCTTGGAGCAGGGTTGACGGACTAGTTGTGCTTCATGGCTCTATTGTGTGCCCGCATGTAGACCGACACAATGAGCTGCACAAACACCTCTCCACACACAAAACATCAGGACTCTGGCTTCTCGTTTAGCGATTTTAAAACAGCAAAGCTTACTCAGCACAATGCAGCCTAGACCAACCCAGACCCTCCAATTCAATTCAAACGGAACTGCATGTGCTTGCATAAGCAGCAGCTGCCCATCCCGTCCCCCTGACCCACACACACTCCCCTTCAGTAGCCCACCACACACAGGTTGTGCTGTTATCTAAAGAGAAGGGGTTGGAAAGGTGACATAAACTGGCACACATGCTCTTATAATGCACAACTGGGTGTTTATTTCTAGTGACACGCTCACCTGTTAAGATGCTTCAGCTTCTTTGGTGGCTACAGCTTCCAATTCCAAATCTCTGAAAGACAAAGAAGAGATAAGGTGAATCTCTCAGAAATCATTTACCTAAACAAACCTCAATTCCAAATAACGCCTGTGGGTGTTATGCAGTTTTATTGGTTTACAGTGATTGTAAATATGACGTGCAAACGGGTTGCTATGCCTGAAATGGTTAACATATCTCCATTTCTAGGCTCAAATTAATTATTGACAGCGCACAGGTTACGAGACATGCATCGCACCCACAAAAAATCTAAGCAAGGGCAAGCATTCACGAACCAACTGTGAGAATCGCAGTGTGAAAAGTGTGTCAATTAGTCAATGTGGAATTGCAGGTTGGCCTGCATAATAGGGCAATGCACGATCACGGCCCCGTAAAGCTGAGGCTCTGCAGGGTGAACAGAGTACGTGTGTGTCTGAGAATGACAGATAAAAGGCACAGAAAGTGGGAGAGAGTGTGTGTGTGTGTGTGTGTGTGTAGGTCAGAGTTACAGCTCGGGTCCTGATCGGCCATTATCTCAGCTGTTGCCTGACTTACAGCTTAACCAACATGGCTTCTCTCGAGCCTGGTATTTTTCCAACGCGAGCTAAGACCAACAATGGCCTTAACGGGGCATCTAATTACAGTCGGTGCAATTAAATTATCATGCGGCTTAGCAGTGTTTGCAGCGTCGTCTGGCCAGTGCAAAAAAAAAAAAAAGTTAAACGAATACGACTGCAAAACCAGCAGAGCGGAGGTCTGGTGTTAAGAGCAGCAGCGGCTCCGTCTCTCTGCCGACAGAGGGTGATACACACTCCGGCCACAACTCTGCAGCCACAATTAACGTTACACCGCCAAATGTGCATTGGTTTTACGTTTCAACGCCACATTTAGGACATTATGAGGACACTTAGACAACGGTGTCCTCCATGCAAGTCACACACACACGAAAAAAAAGCCGAGCAATCAGTCGGAGTCACCGCCGAGCAACCTACGTCGTCAGATTAGCAACGGCTGCTAATGCGAGCTAAGAGGCTAACGCTATGAAGCGGCTAGTTAACTTACCCGGTCTTATTTCAGATGTGTCGACTGGGGTTTTAATACACACAGCGGTACGTGGAACCAAACAACGATAAGCTGCCGATAGACCAATCTGTAAACACAATAATCTCTACCTAAATGCTTAATATGATCTTTTGACAGATATGTGCGCAGGGTTGGCGAGGTAAGGTTAACCAGCGCTCGTACTAGTTAGCGTTAGCACAAGGTTAAGTTGTCCACAAATAGCAAATGTTTGCCTGTCAAACAAGCCTTGAAACGTTCAGTCATCTGCAGGCCAACACAAGCCGATATGCTGTTTTTTTTCCTCTTTACGTCCACTGCATTGCAACACAGCCGCCCTCACTGTTAGCTCAACCAGGAGGCTAGTTAGCTTAGCTCAGTCGCGGCTAACTAAACAACAGCGGCTGTTCCAACTTCTCTAGACCAGTCTCCGGTCTCCGGTCTCCCTTCTCCCGTCTCTCTCTCTCTGTGTACATAAGCTCGACGAAAAGACACGACCATCTGGTCAAAAACACAGTAAACCCAACCTTACCTCATTGAAGTATAAAGTGCAACAGAGTGGAAAGGAAAGCCGGCTGTAAGGCTAAAATAATTTCAACGCGTTTGCAGCATCTACGAGGGGAGGCATCCGTCCTGCATGATCGCCATTTTCTTAACTCGCTGCTGGCTAACCTTCTTTCGCTTGAGCTCTGCTTTCCCCTCCTCTCTCTCCGCATTCACTTCAGCTATGACTGTGTGTGTGTGTTTCTGGAGGGGGGAGACAAGGCAGGAAACACGTTCACCACTTCCTCTGACTGAGAAAACCAAACACAGGCAAACGTACATAAATGGCATCGAGAGACGAGTGAAAGCTTGTGAAGCCAAGCATGTAAAAGTTGTTCGAGGTAAGCAGCTCAGTCCCTTCAGATTATTAAACCCATGACAAATGTTGCAATGGTACCACACGCAGCAGACCTACAAACAAACCCCAGAGTTACTGTATTTATGTAGGCTATGTATTTTAAATTGAAGTATCCCATAGATTATTTAAAAAATGTCATCATGTGTAATAAAGATAAATACCACAAACCAAGGAGGAGCAATGTGGAAAAATAAAGAAATATTATACCCAGAAAAAAACTCCCATTATTGATATATTTATCTGCCCAGTTACACATTTCAGATGTTCTAGTTCAGGGCCGTACCAGATAATATTGAAAATACTGAGGTCCCCCTCCCCACCCTTATAATAATGTGACAAGAAACCAAACATATCTCTGTTTTATTTTTTATTTCAATATTTTTTTAAATACTTTTTAAGTTAATAAGTTGAATTATACCGCAATGATGCGTTCTACATGAAGGTCTACATGCCGTTTCAAGCTTTCTCCACACTAATATAATTATACAATTCTGGGGAGACTGTTGAAACCTATTTATTATTTTGTTGGCCTTCTCCAATTTAAACATACTGAGTCTACAAATAATGGAACGAGTTCATAAAATGCCCACCATGTGTAAGTGTTAAATTATGAAGCTACAGCTCTAGTGTAGTCGATATTTAAGATATTACTCTGAACAGTCTTGGGAAGTAAAACGAAACTGTAATTTTAAATTGGCATTCACATTCACCATTTTTAAAGACATTGTTATGGGAGAAATCCAAGTCAAGAATTTAAGTGTAATGTTATTTAAAACGTTTGCCACATTTTACAGTATTAAAACAACCTAAACAATAACAGTAAAATAAGGGTTGCAACATTCAGTGTCAGTTTATTGACCAGTAAACCCACTTTTGAACACACAGATGGTAAAAGTTTTATAAATACATGTCCGAATAGTGATGTTTCCAACATTGACACGGACCCCAAATTTTCCCAAATTTCCACTGCCCACTCACAAATTATATGTCAACACGTCGACAAATTTCCTCTCTCGAATAATGCAATTACGACTTCTGAACACCTAAGTACCACAGACCCAAAAACCTGAAAGTGCCCAGTTGTGAGGTATTTTGTGTACTTCTGAATGTATGTGGGATGGGAAATTGAACATATATGTCACAAACACAAGCAGATTTCATCTCTACTTTTTTTTTTCTCCATGCGCTTGTCTTGGCCAACCCATGCATGGTTTTGGCTGTTACGTAAGAAAACAACCCTGAAAAGAGTTTTTAAAAAGAGACAGACAGAGACAAGAGAGGAGAGAGAGAAACAAATACAGCGTGGAATCTGCCAACTGCAACGTTTCAACAATGAAACAAAGGCTGTTGCTGCTTACAGGAGAGACCGGCAACCCGTGTGTCCAAAGCTATGACCATTGACCTACCAATGGCAAAAACAACCCCCATCCTTATGCACAAATTACCTCTCTTATCTGTGTGTATTTGATTGAGAGAGAGAGAGAGAGAGAGAGAGAGTATTGCCTCTGCTGTTCCCTAAAACAGATTAAGGCCAGTGGTTGCAGACTGGCTTTAGTATCGAGTTCAGCAGCAGTATTATGTTATTATGATGGCCAGAGTGAAAAGCCTGGGCGATTTTGAGGAAAAGGGGGGGAAAAAATAAAACATTTATAGTTATACCACTTTATCCAATCAGCTGTCCTCTACTTCTATGCCCCCTTCCCCCTTTGTCATTTCCTTTCATTCCATCTAGATC